TAAAAAATTTATAAATAAATAAATATATATATATATATATATATATATATATATATATATTTATTGTAAAAAAAAATGTTTAATGATTTATAACAAAAGGTTATAGGAGATTATATATTTCAAACAAAGTTTGTTATTGGATAAGGCTAATATGGTAAAGTATTTTAAGGAAAGAACTAAAAGACTGGCGAAATAGTGGCCATTAAATAATTAGATAAGATTATATTTGATTAAGATACATTCTTTAAGCAATAAATTGAAAATGAAATTTATGCATTAAAAAAAGTAAATAATTAAAATGTTGTTAGCTTTAAAGATTTTATTTAAACAAATGAAAGCTGTTATATTATATAAGAATATTGCTAAAATGGAGAATTAAAATAATTTACAAGGCAATATGATAACAATACAAACTTTTAATAAAATGGTAATATATATTGATATTAATATATATATATATATAATTATAAATATTTTTTTATATATATATATATATATATATATATATATATATATATATTTATCCTTATCCTTATCATTATTTAAATATTTTATCTATCTAATTAGAATAGATTTGTTAAGAATTTGCAAAATAAATTATTTCAGGAATGTTAGCTTTGAATTAAAGTGGAATAGTACATAGAGATTTAAAACCTGCTAATATTTTAATACACTAAGGTATTTGTAAAATTGCTGATTTTGGATTTGCTAAAAATAAGGACTCTATAAATATGTATAATTCTATTGTCGGTTCTCCTTATTATATGTCTCCTTAAATATTAAATAAAGAAAAATATACATATAAATGTGATGTATGGAGTTTTGGTATGATTTATTATGAAATTTTATTTAAAAGACTTCCTTATATTGCAAATTCCGAAGAAGAATTATATAAATTAATTATTTCTTAGCCTATTAATTTTAATGAATTATCTTTAAGTTAGTTATCTAAAAAATTATTAGAAAGATCTTTGTAAATTAAAGAAGATAATAGAGCTAGTTGGTACGAATTATTAGATATAATTAATAGATTTAATGATTAAAATACAATATAAATTAAAATGTCTGGAATTTAAGTATAATAATAATCAGTTTAAAGGTTTATATAAATAATCAATAATATATATATATATATATATATATATATATATATATATATATATATATATATTTATATATATATAAATAAATATATACATTTTTAGTTTATTAAAAAACTTTATTATATAATAAATGATTAAATGAAATAAAATATGATTAATATTAATATTAATATTAATATATATGGATTAAAAATAATATAAATATATAAAAAAAAAATAAGAAAAAGAGAAATATTTTCAAATTATAAAAATACAGAAGTTGTTGATATTCAAAAAGAAATACATAAAAATAGAGCTGAATTACTTTATGTGTTTTTTATGGGATTAAATTTATATGAATAATAAAATATTTTTATAGAATTTATTGATTAAGATATTGTAATAAAAAGCGAATTATGTATTTGTTAAAATTTAATTTTATAATCTTTCGTTTTAAAAGATAAATACAAATAATTTTGTTAATAAGAAAGTGTAAAAAATTAAAATTCTTTTCAAAATATATTGAATAATATAGAAAATGAACATTAAAATTATATTGAGTTTTAATAAGATGTTATTTTAAATACAAACTTAAATATAAATAATTTTAAAGAAAATATTGAAGAAATACTAATAAAAATTATAGGAAGTGTAAATATTTAAAAGTTTGAAAAAAGTTTTAATAATTATAATAATAATAATAATAATAATAATAATAATAATAATAGTAATAATAGTAATAATAGTAATAATATTAAAAACAGTTCTTGTTTTAGATAAATATTAAATTTTTTTGATTTTGCTATTGAATATGTCAAAGTCAAGAAGAAAAGTAAAAATATAATTAATGATGATTTTGAAGATATTTTTAATTAAAGAAATTGTATTTTAGATTTAAATTAATTATATTAATAAGTATTTAATTAGTTAAAAATTTTAAATAAGTGAAAAAATTAATTGTTAATTATTTTGTAGAAATATATATTTTTAAATATTTTTATATAAATATAAAGATATTTATGATATTTATATTTAATTATATATATATTAATTTATAAAAAAAAATACATTTTTATATGAAATAAAATAAATATAAGATTTATTATTATATAATCCATTATATTTTTTATTATGTTTATTATTAATTTTAACTATTATTTTTATTTTATTTTTTTATATAAAAAAGGAAATATAATATAATAATATAACTATTTATTATTAATAAATACCAAAATATTTTAAAATAATAATTTTAAAAATTATATTTATTTTTAATCATATAAATATCTAAATATATAATTATTTATTTATAAAGTGTAATAAATATATTTTTTTTTTAAAACTTATATTTTTATATACCTTTATTTTGTAAAAACGATATCTCTAATTTAATTTTAAAAGTAAAATAAATTATAGTTAGATTAGTATAATTATAAAAAAAATTATATTTTTTTTAATAATTGATATTAAATATTATTAATTAAATAAAATATAAATATAATATATAAATAATATATATATATACACATCCATATTTAATATAAATTTAGATATAATTAAAATAAATACCTTTATAACAAAATATTTATTTTAAAAAAAAATAAAAAACATAAATTATATAAAAAATAAAGGAAAAAAAATTAAATAAAAAATTATCAAAAAATGTCTTAATCACGTGAAGAATTAATTTATTTAGCTAAAGTAAATGAATAATGCGAAAGATTTGAAGACATGTTATCAAACATGAAACAAGTCGTCAAACTAGACTAAGAGCTTTCCATTGAAGAGCGTAATTTACTCTCTGTTGCTTACAAAAATTCTGTCGGATCTCGCAGAACTGCTTGGCGCGCCATTTCTTCAATTGAATAAAAAGAAGAATCAAAAGGATCAAAAAACATTAATCTTCTACGTGAATACAAAAAGAAAATCGAATAAGAATTATCATAATTTTGTAATGATATTTTAGAACTTTTAGACTCTCATTTAGTTCCAAAATCTAAAGTAAATTTATTTGTTTAATTTAATTTTTAATTATATATTATTTATATTATATTTAGACTAATTGAAGGAAAAGTATTCTTTTTAAAAATGAAAGGAGATTATTATAGATATATTGCTAGAATATGCATCTGGATAAACCCATGATTAAGCCGCTAATGGAGCTTTAGATGCCTATTAAAAAGCTTCAGATATTGCTAATAAAGATTTAAATACTACTCATCCTATAAGATTGGGATTAGCCTTGAATTTCTCAGTTTTTTATTATGAAGTTATGAATGATCCCTCTAAAGCTTGTAATTTAGCTAAATAGGCTTTTGACGAAGCTATTGCAGACATTGAACATATTGAAGAAGATTAATATAAAGATGCAACAACTATTATGTAATTAATTAGAGATAATTTAACTCTTTGGACATCGGAACTTTAAAATGATGAAGAAGATGCATAAGTAGAAAACATTTGAAAATTGCTTTCTTATAGATATTTAAAAGTTATATATATTATACGTGTTCGGGAGAAGAAGAATATTGGTCTATAAAATATTTACATATTTTGTTTTAAATATGTATTTTATTTATATAGTCCTTTTTTTTCTATCTCTCTTTTTTTAATAAATTTTATATATATAAAGTATATATTTATATATAAAAAAAGAAAATTAAATATTTTAAAAAAATAATTATTTATTTATATATATATATAAATATATATATATATTTATTTATATATATATATAAATATAAATATATTTATATTTATATATATAAGATTTTTTTATTTTCTTTTTATTTACTTAAAATAAAATATTATTTTTTATATAATTTATTATCACTTTTATATATTTTAATTTAAATATTTTTTATTTTAATAAAAAAGCCGACAACCGGGTTTGAACCGGTGACCTTCTGCTTACGAGGCAGATACAATAACCACTATGCTATGCCGGCTACTTTTTCATTTAATATCAAATATACTTTAATTTAAATTTGATAAAAATATTTCTCTTTTATAATATAGATATATTTTTTTTGAATATCATAAAATTATATTATATTAAAAATTACTTATATATTGCTTTTTTTTTGTATATGTATAAAAAAATAATTAATTTTTTTTATTTATATTTCAAATAAATTACAAACAATAAATTTAATTCATATATAAATATTTTTATAAATATTTTTTTTTTTAATTAATTAAATAAAATTATTTTTATTTTATAAAATAATTAATATTAATAGTTTTTTTATATATATTAAAATCATATAACCTAATTATTGATTATATTTATTTCATTTTGTTTTTTCAAGAAGCTTAATTTGATTTCTATATAATAAAATTAATTTAAAAAAATAAAGTTTAACATATTTTATTAAAAAATTATTTTTTATATATATTTCTTAAATAACCTATTTGACTATTTTTTTTATTTATTTAAGATATTACAATATATCAAAATTAAAAAAGCATATATAATTATAAATAATTAAGAAAAAAATAAAATAAATGACAGAATAATATACAGCAATATAAGTATAATTTATAAAAATATATTAAAAATATAAAAAATAAAAAATAGGCATCAATAATTGAATGGAAATAATGTGAATTAGACAATACAAAAATAATATATACAATAGAAGTTTAGAAAACTAACGGTACAAAATGGTAATTAAAGAAGAGATATAAAGAATTTGATGAATTAAATAAAAATATTAAAAAGCTCTATGCAAATATTCCAGCAATGCCAGGAAAAACATTATTTAAAATAAAAGATAATAGTGAAATCGACAAAAGAAAATAAGGTCTAGATACTTTTTTAAAATAAATAGTATAAAGACCCGATATTTTCCATTCTGAGTTTTTAAATTAATTTTTAGAAGTAATTTTTAAGAAAAAATAAAAATAATATATATAATCACACATATATATATAAAATAATATATATATATATATATATATATATATATATATATATATTCATTATAAGATTGATTAACACACAACAGACTAATCAATAAATCCACCAAAATTATTAGGTGAATTAACAGGTTTTATTCATGGCGTTAGAGATTTCCATTATGAATCTAACACTGGTATACTTTTTTATTTTAAAAATAAAAAAAATAGATAAATAAAATCAAATAGGTTTACTTTTTGTATTATGTGGAGATATGAATGTGGCTTCTAGAATGGATGCTTATTTGACAAATATGAAAATGCCATGGGAAAAAGAATAACCTTAAACATTATTATCTGTAGGTACTTTAGAATGTTGGATATAATAATAAAAATCGGATAAATTTTAATTTGATAGAGTTTGGAGTTTAGCTTATCCTTCTTAAGCTATTTGTATGCATTGGGAGCCTATTTCTTAGATTCTAACTATTGGGTTTATATTATTTTTTATTATTATTATTTAATATTATTTTTTATTTATTTTTTTAGATTAGATGAAGGAAAAATTCATTAAATAAAAGTTCCATAAGATTATTAATTTTTAAGATTTGAAAAAGTTAATAATTTTTTTATTAAAAAAATAAAAATAAAATAAAATATAATATAATTAAAAAGGTATTAGAATATTAACCTCATGAATATAGAATTATGGGAGTACATTATGATAATATTAATGATATAATATATACATGTTCAGAAGACAAAACAATAAAAACAATTGAAAATAACTAATGCATAAATGGTAATAATTTTTTTTTTATATATATATATTGTTAAAATTATTAATGTTTTTTTTTAGTTTTAAAGCATAGTGATACTGGATTAACTTGTATGTTAGCAGATAAAGAATTTAAAAGATTGTTTGTTTCAAATCGTTCAGGAAACATTTATATTTATAGCATTTCTTCTATTAATCCGGAATTATTAATTACAGTTTAAACAATTTAAAAAGGAACTATAAGAGGATTAACAATTGATTTAGTGAAGAATTATTTGTTTACAGGCGGCTTTGATGATGGGGAAATTTGTGTCTTTGATATTGAAAAACCTGGAAAAGTGATATATATATATGAATATATATAAATAAAAATATATATATATATATATATAAATATATATATATACATATATATATTTATATATATTTATTTCTTTTTTTAGGAAAAATTTGCTAAATTATCTGCTAGTTTAGTTGGAAAAAAAAAAGTGAGATCTATTTAATGGTCAACAAGTAGAAGCGAAATTTATGTCGGGACATATGACGGTACTATAACTATATGGAATGCTAAAAAAGGATAGCCTATATGTATATATATATATTATTTTTTTCAGATATAAATATAAATAAAAATTAGATGTAATGAAAGGACATAATCATGAAATTACTAAATTATAATGGTTTGAAAGTAATAATATGTTAGTAAGTAGTGCTAAGGAGAAATCTATAAAGGTATTATTTATCTATAATATCATTGTTTTATATTTTTTTAAGTTTTGGTAAATGCCTAAAGAGTGGAGAGATAAACTAATTGAATAATAAGAAGAAAAGCTTCTTTAAGAAGTTGTATAAACCTAAAATTTCTTAAAAGCAAAAGAACAAATTAAAAAAGTTGATGAAGATTCTGACGAAGATGATTTAGCTGGATGGCATTAATATTGATTCTTTTTTTTTTTATAAAGAAAAATAAAAAAATAGTTATATATTTTTATATGTATGAAAATATAAAAAATAATATTATTTTTAAGAATATGAACAAACAAAAATATATTTGCCTTTTTATAAAAAAAAAAAATATTTATATTTATAAATTTATTTATATATATATATATTTTTTTTAAGAGGAAAATAATTATTATATTTATTAGAATACTCATTTAAATATGTTTAGTTTTAATTAAGAAATAGTGATTGGCATAGAATTTTATGTTGTTAATTTATAATTATTATTTAAGTTAATTTAATTAAAATTTTTTTTATTTGCAAAATTAAAATTTTATTAAGAATTTTACATCTATCTTGTATATTCAGAATAATAATTTCTTTCATCATTAACTATTTCAGTTGATTTTATTAAATCACTACTATCTCTAATATATAATTGAATAAATTATATATAATTTAAATTTAATTAAATTTTATATAAAATATATTATAATATAATTTTTATATATATTTTTATTTACGTAAAAATATTTAAATTTGAACTTTTATTTTTTTATTTATTTTTTAAATAATTTTAAATATGTATTTGGTTTTGTTAGGTCTAATATTCTATTTCTTATATTTTTTATTTTTATTCTTAAATTTGCTATTTTTTTTGTTTAATTAATATTTAAAATTTATAATAAAATTACCTTTTTATGCATTTATTTTTAATCTTATAAATAATTTAATTTTTATATTAAATTAGTATTAGCCTCTTCTAATTTTTAAGTTCTTTAACTTAATTCTAAAATTACTTTTTGCAATTATTATATTTTATTATTTTCCATAACCTATTCATGTTTTCTCAAAATACTAATTAATATACTGTTTTTATTATTTTCATTAATTTATCCACTTTTGTTAGTTTTTTAAAAGTTTTTAAAATTTTATTTTAAATAAGATTTTTTCTTATTTTGACTTTCATTTATTTCTTCCTAAAGTGAAAGTTGCTTTGTGTGTTTATTTTTATTATTTTCATGATTTTTGTTAATTCCTTCGTTATATATTTACAAAAATTGATATTATTATTATTATTATTATTATTATTATTATTATTATTATTATTATTATTATTATTATTATTATTATTACTATTATTCATTTAAATAGTTATTATTTACAATATTTGTATTATTATATTAATTATTTTATTATTAATAAGTCTCGCTTTTAGAATGTGCATGTGATATTTTTCCTTTTTCTTCATGTTTACTCATATTCTTTTCGATATATAATGAATTTTTCGAAGAAAAAACATTTAAATTATCTATTGAACTTGCTTAGTCGCCTGCATATTCTATAATGGTTTATAAAGACATTTATTTAGTGGGATTTTTATGTAAATATTCAAATTTGTTCGGTATTTTTAAACCGAAATAAAATTGGTTATTACTATTATTTATATCCAATTAAAAGAAATCTTATTCAATAGGTTCTATTATTTGCTATTTTCCATCGTTTTATAGCTTTTACATAATCTATATTGTTTTACTTGTGTCCTCTTGTAAGTAGTTTATTTGTTTGTGTTATATTTATTATTACTATATTTATTATTATTTAATAAATTTTTATTGATTTAGATTTTATTATTTGTTATATTATTATTCAAATTCTAATATTGTGTCTATACTGTCAAATTATGATTATGTTCTGCGATGCATTATATTTTGCTTTTATTACATATGTTATTACATTAATTAATTTTATGGGAAATTAGATAGCATTTATAATTTTTAATGAAAATCCATATATTTTTTAAGTTTTTTTTTATCTCTCTATATTTATTATTTTTTTTTTATTTTATTTTTTTTATTTTTTTTCTTTTATTTTTTTTATTATTTTTTAAATGAATGCTTATTTAAATTTTTTTCTTTAATATTTAATAAAAAACAATATTAAAATTACATTAATATTAATAATATAATTAAAATAAATAAATATATATATATATATATATATATATATATATATATATATACATTTAAAAATTAACTCATAAGTAAATTATAATAATTTTTATTTATATTTTTATTAATCAAACAACAAATAAAATTAATCATAATTTCTTTTTTTTATTTTAATAAATTAAAAAAAAAATATTAATATATAAATAAATTTATATGTATCAGTTATTTTTAAAAAGAATTTTTGTTAGAATTAAATCATTTTTTATTTAATTATTATTATTATTAATATTTTATTTTTATATCAATTATTCTTCATCACATATTAACTATTAAAGTTTCTATTATTCAAATTCTATATTTGAATTAATAATGTTTTAAATTTATTTTTCTTTTTCTTTTTATTTTCTTTATAAATATTATCCTTTTTAAAATAAATCATTCAATTAATTTTTAATTTACAAATTTTTTTAGAAACACCTATAATTATTTTATTCATATTAATTTAATTATTATTATTCCTAGAAATATTATTCTTCTAAAATATCTAAATTTTATGTTAAAATAGGTTTTATTCCATACGTAAATAATTCAATTGTAGGTATTTCAAATCTTCCTTATTAAATAAATAAAGGATTAGGATTTTGATTTTTATGTATTTATATATTTTCAGTTTCAAAAATTTATTCTTTAAGTTTTGATTATTCTTATATTTTAATTTTTTGATTTATATATTAAGATTCATTCAAATCATAATTTATTTAACTTTAATTTGCTATTTTAAAATTTTACGTAAGACTATTTTTTAAAGATTTTTAATTTTAATTTTATATTTTTGTTTGCTTATTAGTTATTTTTTCGAATAATTTTAATTAATTTATATGATTCTATTTTATAGATGGAATGGCTTTTTTATTTTCTTGACTTATATTTTTGTTATTTTTATAAAATGTATTCATAATATTATTTAATTTAAACTTGTTTTTTTTCTTTCTTATATTTATTTTAAATAATTAATTTAGTTTTAAAATCAAATATTTATAAAATTATAAATAATAAATTTTGTAAAAAAATAAATAAAAAAAGTTTTTATTAATAATGTAAAAAAATTGCTTTAGAATATTAATTTTTATATCTTACCTATAAGAATAAATGAATTTTAAAATACATATTAGTTTATTATTATACTTCTAAATAAAATATATATGTATTTATATATTATCTTTATTACTATATATTGCCATTAATAATTAATATATTATTAATTAAAGGAAAATCATATAAAATTTATATATAGAAATAAACACAATATATATATAAACAAAAAAATTCGAAATATATTTTATTAAAAAATAAAGTGTTTATATAAAAATATCAAAAAAATATAAAAAATGGGCATATATATGAACAAACCAAATACATAAAAATATACTATTCATGGAAAATTGAATAAAATATAATATGCTGTTTCATCTATGTAAGGTAATTAAAAATAATAATAATAAAAATTTATACATTAAAAATAAATATACTTGAAATACATTTTTTTATATAAATATAAAAAAAGGATGGAGAAACCATATGGAAGATGCTCACATATGCCTCCCAGATCTAACATAAGATGTTCAATTATATGGTGTTTTGGACGGACATGGAGGCTTCGAAGTATCAAAATTCGTTGAAGTAAATTTTGCAAAGTATTTATTAAAATCCAGTTCATTCTAAATTAAAGACTATGAAAATGCTTTAAAAGAAACATTTTTGAAAATGGATGAACTGTTAGAAAGTAATGAAGGTTAAAAATAATTAATTGAAATCTTAGAATAAAAAGACAAAAATAAAAAAAATAGTAATGCAGGTTGTACTGCCAATATAGTTTTAATTGCAAACCAAAATTTGTATGTAGCAAATGCAGGAGATGCAAGAGCATGTAATATTTATTTATATATATATATAAATAAATTAATATATATGTATATATATATATATATATAATTAAATATATATATACATATATATATAAATATTTACTTATTTTTTTATATATATTTATAATTATATGCATATATTTTTATTTATTAGTATTATATTCTAATGGATAACCTGTTAGAATGAGCGAAGATCATAAACCCGAAAATTAATAGGAATTAGAAAGAATTTTATAGGCTGGAGGAAATGTTTATGACGGAAGAGTGAACGGAAATTTAAATTTATCAAGGGCAATAGGTGATTTGTAATATAAAAACAATAAAAATTTGACTGTTGATAAATAATTAATTATTGCAGTCCCTGATATAAAAGTGAAAAAAATCGAAAAAGAAGATAAGTTTATTATTATTGGATGTGATGGAGTTTGGGAAACTTTAAGTGATAAAAAAATATGTAGAATTTGTGACACATAATTATAAAACGGAATCGGAGCCGAAAAAATTGTCGAAGAATTGCTTGATTTAATGATTGCTCCAGATACTTTAAGTAATTTTATTATATTTATTTTAATTATTTTTTGTTTTGTTTTAAATAAAGGCGGATGTGGATGTGATAATATGACTATTATGTTAATAACTCTTAATTAATGAAATAATTAACTCTATTTTTTAGTTATTTGTTTATAAAATAATGTAAAAATTTTTTAATTAAATAGTTTTATATATTTTAAATTTGTAAAGAGAAAAATTAATAATTAAATTTATAACAAATCTATTAAATGGATATATATTAGAAAATGTATTAATTAAAAATATATTAATTTTTTATTAATAATTTTTACTTTTATTATTATTTTTTTGTTTTATTAAATAATTAAACAAATATTAATAGATATTTAAATATTTAATTTATTATTTAATTATTTTTGGTTTAATTATTTAGAATATTTTATTAAATATTATCTAATTAATATATTACTTTTATAATAAAGAAATAAAAAAATTAATATTTTTAAATATATACATAAACTAATAATATAAAAAAAATACATTTTAAGTTACAAAAATTATATTTGTTTACAATATTAATGAAAATATACGAGTTTATATATATTAAATTGTTACTATTTTTCATTTAAAAATAATTATTAAAATTAATATTTTTTAAATAAAATATATTGTTATAAGAATACTATTCTATATATAAATTAAATTTATAAGAATTAATATATATAGTTGATTAATGTAATTGAATGCTTTAGAAGACTTTTTTATAGAATTTTTTATTAAATTTTAATATAATTGTTATTATTTTTTTATTTGTATCTAAAAATTATTTTTTTAAAAAAAATAAAATAATTAATCAGATTTTACATTTAGTTTTTTAAATTTTGTTTTCGTTTTTTTCTAAAATTTAATAAATATTTTAATTTTCTTTATTATTTTCTTATTAAAAGTTTTATTATAATTAGATATTTTGTTAATATTGTTAATTTTATTATTTTGGAAAAATTTTTTAGGAATCTTAAGAAAATTATATGGCAAGTTAACATTGTTTATCAAATTCAATTCCATTATATTTTTTTAAATTATTTAAATTAGGAAAAATATTATCATAGCTTTTCGCAAAAGACAATATTTCTACAGAAACATTAATTATTTCTTATTTATTTAAGTGTAATATTTATCCAATTTAATCCAAAAGTATATTATTTTCAATTTAAACATCAAATTATTCAATTATTTTTAAAGAGACATAAATTATTCCTGCCGCAATTAATTTGTTATTGTATATACTAAGTATTTAATAATTAAAAATCGTTTGTTTATATATATAAATGAAAATATTTTTTAGAAAATCATTATATTCTTGGTTAAATATAAATAAACTGAAATAAAAAGCAATTTATTATATTAATGTATGAAGATTTGTAGATGGAATTTTGAAATCAAGACAATATAATATTTCAAATTCCATATTTTTTAGTTATTACTTAGACAATCTTTTATGAGAAATTTTATCTTGTAATATGTTCAAATTGAAAGGAATTATTTCTTCGAATTTAGAGGCTATAAACATGCATGTAATGCCAATTAAATGCAATTCAGATGGTTGTAATTACCTATATTTTTTAATATTATATTAATGTATATATAATATATAGTAGAAATTATAAATAATTTATATAATATGATATATTTTATTTTAAATAAATTAATTTTAATGGATATATATGATTGAATAATTTAATTATATTTTACTTATATATTTTAATAGAAATAAAAATATTTTATAAAAATACATATATATGTATATGTATATATATATATATATATATATATATATTTAAAAAAAATATAATATCATATATTACCTTTAAGAATTCTAAAAATAATTATCCATTATATTAATGGATAAAGCAAATGTGTTTTCAGTAAATTTATATGTTTTTGTAACTTCTATCATCCAATCTATCATTTTAGCTCTCATTTAATCATTTATATAGTGATTTTAAAGAAATTAACAATTGTTTTATATATCCTGTTTTTTTTATTTTATATATTTAAAATAATAATAAATATAAATGTTTAATAAATAATAAAGGTAAATATATTTAATAATTATATTTTTATATATTTTTTTTTAAATTTAATTTATTTACATTTATATATATTTCTAGATTCTTTTTTAAGTAATGTTTTATATTTTTTTATATGTCAATTTTTTATTCAGACATTTCATAGTATATTGATGTTTTAGATGTTATTAAATGTTTATTAGCTTTTTAATTTTGAGTTTATTCTTGATTACAAATACATAGTTAATTTCCCATTTATTCTCTATAAATAATTAAAATATTATTTATAATTTTTTTTTATTTTATTTTATTATTAAAATATTTATTTAAAATTTTCAATTTAAAAAAATATATATATATTAAACACTACATCGACAAATAAAATAAATAACTTGATTACATTTATAAATGCAAAAAAAGAAAATATTATTATAATATTTTTTTATATAATGATAAAAGATTTAAATTTTTTATTTTTTTAATAATATTTATTATCTTAAATATTTTATATTAAATTTAAAATACTTTAAATAATATTTAATAAAAATTATAACATTAAAAATTTATTTATATTATTATTTTTTTCTAAAAAATTAAATTAAAATATTTATATTTTTCATTTTATTTTTAAAATAATATATATTTTTCTAATATCTTAATTAAATAATTTTGTTTTGGTTTCCTATTTTTAAAAAAATATATAGGTGTAATTCTTTATTATTAAAAGAAAAAGAAAAAAAATTTAAATATTTTCATTATTTAAAATATAATAGATAAAACAAAAAATTATAAAAATAATTAATTGTTTCTATTTTTATTTTATTTTAAAAAAAATTGATTTTTATTAACCATTTAATAAATATTCAAAATAATATTTTATTTTTTTTTAAATAAAATTAAAAATATAATCAATTTAAATACTATCTTCGTATTTTTTAAGGTTATAAATAAATAAAAAGGATTATGATTTGTCCTTTATTATAATATTAACATAAAAAAAAAAATTAAAATATAATCTTTTTCATAAACAATATAATCAAAATTATAACTTATAATATTTATTTTAAGAAAATTTTTCCTTTTTAAAAATAAATAAATATAATTAAATTTTTTAATATTGCATGTAAAATAAAATTTGATTATGATTTATATATAATCTATAATATGTTATTTAAAACAAAAAAAATTATAAATGAAATATATTAATAAAAAAAAATTATAATATAATATAATTATGATGTAATGATATAATTAAGCTTATTATATTTTTTTATAAATATAATAAAGACATTGAAAAATCATATAAAATAATAAATGTATATCTAAAATTAAATATTTAATAAAAAATTAAAATATATTAATTTGAATTTATTAAACATTATTATATAAAAAAAACTGATATTATATTTATGACATTTTAATTAAAAAAATATATATAAATATTAATAAAAATATATATGATAATATAATAAGTATAAATACATATATATAAATATATATTTATATATATATATAAAATAATATTTATATATATTCATATTGTTATTAATAATAATATAAATATATACATATATAGATATTAATTAATATATTACTTTTTCTATATATATATATTTTCATTTCAATATAATTTATTCTTTTATTTTTTTATAATTATTTTTTTTATTATTTAAAATAAATTATAAATAATATAAAGAATAAATAGTAAAAACAAAAAAAATGTCTTAGCAAAACGAATATAATTTTAATTTTAAATAAAGCAATTTAAACAAAATAATTAATTAAAATTTAGTACAAAATAACTTTTATTCTAATGTTTTTTAGTTTAATTAATAATTATTTCTAAATCCTAATTTTAATAATTTTTAATAAAATCAAACGTAGTAAATTAGTAAATTAATGAAATAATGATAAATTCACATTTTTAAAATTTAGGATAAATTTAAAATTCTTAAATAAATTAGTATGATTAAATTTAATAAAATTAAGAGAATATTCCATTAAAATTATAACCCATATAATTTTAATAAAATTAAATTTAAATATATTTATAAAAGTTAAACTTATTTCTTAATAATCATATAGGTAATTCTGATATTAAAATTTTAAATGATGTAGTTTAAGCTGTAAAATTATTAGCTAGATTTAAATCAGATATTGAAATAAATAGTAATTTAAATTTTTATATAAGTTTTTTTTTTTTTTTTAAGATTAAGGAACATTAAATTGTTAATAGTTTTTTAATAATGATAGAGAAATTAACGATTCAATTGAATTAACGCAATGTAATCATTCTTTTCATAGTGTGTGCTTATAAAATATGATATTATAATATATTCTAGATAAAAACAATCTTAATTAATAAAGTATATAAGGCTTAGAATATCCAGGGTGTGAATTATTTAAGGGTCAATTAGATTTAAAAACATGTATAAATGCTTTATAATGAAAATAATGTATATTTTAAAAAATTTATATAGATAGTAATAAATATATAGAATAGATATTAATATAAAATATATATCTAAAATTTATAATAGATAAAAAATAGATATATAATTATATTTATTTTAAAATAAATATTTATTTATAATATATATATGAATATTTTTTTTTATTATTATTATATTTTGTTTTATTTTTTTCGTTTTTGATTATAGTAATTTTTATTTTTATGGTTTAAATTGTTTAATATAACTAATTTTTTATATTAAAATAAAATATATTTACATATAATTAAATTAGAAATAATAAAATATTAATATTATTTATATTTATCTAAAAAAATTATATTTTTTATTTTTATTTAACAAATAATATTTATTGTTTTAATAATTAAACAAAAGTAAATTAGAAAAAATGATGTAATAATTTTTTTTTAAATAAAGTAAGTAAAGACCAAACAATAAAATGGTTAATTTTTAATAGTATCCTTTTAATAAATTTAAAACTAAAAAAAAATAAAAAAAGACTATTTTTGATTCCTAAGAAGTTAATCCATATTATTCAGATTAAGATAATTAAAATAAAACACAAAAAAACACTAGACTTTCATATTTCTTATTATAAGATAATTAATAAAATAAAAATTAAAGCTAGGATTTAAAGTAAATAGTATAATCCAAAACATTTAATATTTTTAATGAGACAAAAAAAAAACTAATAAAGTAAAGAATTTATAAGAAAAGTTAAAGCTTTGATTTTACATAGTAAAATAATAAGGAATAAACAAGCTGCCTAAAACTAATAATAGATAATTATTTTGAATAAAAAAATAAAAAAATTTAAGATATAAAGTTTAAGAGATCATCTTCAGAAATTAAATTTTTTAATTACAAACAAAATATATGTGAAATAAAAAATAGAGTAATAAAATATTTTTTAATATATTTAATATATTTATTAATATTTAATATAGGCTAATTTATAGCTTTTTTTAATAATTCATAACTATAAAACACATCTAAAGAAATATTTGAATACAATTTAAAGCGTAATATATAATTTTTCTTTTATTATATTTTTAGAAAATATATAAGTTCTTAATATTTGATGATTTAATTTATGAAATATAAGCATTTATGGATGAAACTTAAATAGAAAGATACTGTAAAAACCTAGATAGGATACAAAATTTAATAAAATAAAATGAAAAAAAATATTAGTAATAGAATTAAACATTTATAATATAGAAATAAGGAAAGAATTAAAATTTAAAAATATTCAATAAAGAAATTAATGATATTTAGTCTTGTGATGAAAAAGCTATTTCTTCTAAAACTTAAAACAATTTATAAATTAGTAAATATGTTGAAAGGTCTTTTACACCAGAAAATTATAAAAGTTCATTTTTTAAAGATAATAAGTAATTTTAATTAACTAATTTTAGAATTAAAAATTAAAAGAAAAATTAAAAATAAAATCAAGAATGTATAACACAGTAATTTATATTTTCTTATTTATTTATTTTTAATGCCTTTATTTATTTTTTTTGAAATAAGTTTTACGAATTAAATAAAAAAAGCTATTTCCGAAATATGTTTAGTTAGTGTTTTTTATAAAGCTAATAATTAAATTAAATAAGATTAATAAAATAAACTTTAAATTAAAAGCGAAATTTCAAATATGAAATAAATTAAGAATTAAATAATTTAAATAAAAAGTTAATAAGTGGATAAATAAATAAAAATTAGTAAATTATTATAATTTATTTGTTTTATTAAAATTTAAAATTTATATAAATAGGTTTAATATAGAGCTTAATTAATAATAACAAAATAGGTTTTAATTTATCTTAATATTTAACTTAAATAAAAATGATAATAATTTAAAGTGATTTATTTATATAAAATTAAATAAAAAATAATATATTGAATTGTTAAAATGAAATAATTTAGAATTTCATAAGTGAACAAAAGAAAAAAAGTTAAAAATTTAAGCTTAAATTTTAAGTTAGAAATTAATTTGTAGAATTTGTCAATAAAAAGTTTCCATAAATTAAATGAAAAAGCATTCTTTGAATTGTATATTTTTTTTTATTTTATTTTTTAATTAAATAATTAATTCCAAACAAAAAAACAAAAAGGTAAAAAAATGCATGAATTATAATAAGAAATTCAAAATTAATTAAAAGATATAAATGTGGCATTATTGTATATTTTTTAATAAAATAGAGAATTGTAATTCTAGCGAAAAATAATTCAAAAATAAATTAAAAAATTACAAAAAGAAACTCTTATATATAAAAAAAATAATGTTTGTTCCAAAAAGCTAAATTTGTAAAAAAATAAATCTTGTTTTAATTAATAATAGCTTTAAATTAAAAAACATACAAGTTTAAACGAATTAAAATCAATTAAGAATGTAAATAAAAGTATATAATATTTTAATAAGAAAAAATTTAAAATTATTTAATAAAAATAGTTAGTGAAATAAGTTAATTTAAAAGAAAGTTCACCAAAATATTAAAATAATTCAATTAATTAAAAAAAAATAAACTAAAAAAGACTAGATCCAACATTTATTTGAATAATTATAATTATTAAGAAGTTTAAAAATAAAATATATCTGCACCTGATTTTGAATTAATTAAAAGTCCGAAATAATAAATTGAAAATGAAAGAAAATCTCCTTTAAATTCAACAAATTAATTAGAAAAAATTATAGAAGAAAGTTATTATTTAAATAATGAAAATTCATAAAATTTAAACATAAATTCTTAAAATATGTAAAAATATTCAGAAAACTAATACGATTTATCCCAAAATTAATATAATTCATAAAATTTAAATAATATAAGTTAAAATAAAGCAAATATAAATAAAGAAAATTTCATACAAAATGAATATATTAATTATTAAATCAACGAATTTTTTTAAGATATTAAATATTAAAATTCGAATAACTCAATTATAGAAGATTAAAGCAAGAGTATTTAAATTATATAAGAATTCTAAGATTAATAAAATAAATAAATTGATTAAGAAAAAAAAGTAGATAATTATTAAAACGGGTAAAATATAATTTCTCTTAATAAAATAACTTATTATTATGATAATAATAGTCAAAATACGATTAAAAATAATATTTTACAAATTAATATATAAAAAGATTAAAAAGAATAAAAAGAATAAAAGGAATAAAAAACATAATAATAATAATAATAATAAACATAATAATAATAATAATTTTTGTTAAATATATAATAAAACTTATATAACTAGTTTGTTATTAATAGTCTTAATTATATCGAAAATATGAATTTTTTTTAGGAAGAAAAGTAAATTAATTTTAAAGATGACTCAATTGATTTTAAAAGAATTTTATCTTTTTAATAATTAATATAACTATAGAGTTTCTATAATTTAGATAAGTTTTTAAAAGATGAAAATTATAAATAAAAAGGAATTGTTTTAAAAAAATCTTTTAGTTTACCCAATTTAAATATTTTTTAGAATATTTAAAATAATAATTTGTAGTTATTGTCAAATTATTTTGAAATTTTTTAAAAAAAACATTAACTTTATAATATTTAAGTTTAATTAAGAATTATTTCTTTGATTTTTGATTCCGAAAAATGTTTGCTTAAGAAAGATATTTTTTAGAACTTATAATGTATTTAATTTGTCTATTTAATTATTTAAATTAATAAAAAATAGATAAACTAATAAAGTTGTAAGAAAACAGATAAAGAATTATATTTTTACTTCAAAAAGTTTAAATTTTAGAATTTACTTAAAAAGTTTTTGATATAGTATCATTATTTTAAGTATATTATATATATTTTAATATAAATAATTAAAATATTCTTAAAAATATAAAAAATATAGTAAAGAATATATTTATTATAATAATTTTATATATTGGATAATATTTTATTATAAATTTCACATTAAGAATAATCTTATAATGATGTTTAAATGAATAGTAATACGAATTCAAAATAAAAATTATATAAATCAAATACTTTATAAATAATAAACTTTGGAAAATCTACTAGTTAAATTAATAATAATAATAAAGAAAGTAAATAGTAAATAAAAAAGGCTTTCTAAATTAATAAATTTGATCAATTTTTTAATCTATAAATAGAAAATGAGGAAAATAATAAAATAATTAATTATAGTAATGACATAAATTCCTAAAACTATTATTCTTTTTAAAATTTTGATTTAGTTTTAGAAAGCTTTAAAGCTAGTTATAAAAATGATATTACAATAAAAGACTTTGATTTTATAAAATTAATTAGCAAAGGAGCTTTTGGCCGAGTTTGGCTTGTTAAATAAAAAAATACAGAGGACATATATGCAATGAAAATTGTGAATTTTGCTGACAAAATGAATAAAAATCATTTGAATTCTTTAAAAAAAGAAAACGATATTTTATAAAAAGTTTAAGGAGACTATGTTGTAAGGTCTGTTTATACTTTTACACATGAATAGTATATTTGCTTTGTAATGGAGTATATGGTAGGAGGTGATTTAGGAAATATAATTTCAACTTATGGGGTTTTAAGTGAGGAAATGGGTAGATTTTACATTTCGGAAATTATTTTGGCGGTTTCCAGTTTACATTAAATTGGAATTATACATAGAGATTTAAAACCAGATAATTTACTATTAGACTCAAATGGACATTTAAAATTGACTGATTTCGGACTTTCTGATATGGGATTTGAGAGCAGGAAAATAAATTAGTAAAAAATAGAGGATTTTTGAAAGAAAAAAAAAAGAAAAAATGACTTTTTTGGAACTTAAAAAAAACACAGAGAAAATTAAAAAGATAACTTCTAGATAAAAAAATTTTCATAATCCAAGAATTATTGGAACTCCAGATTATATTGCACCAGAAATTCTTAAAGGAGAAGGCATCAAAGATGTTTCTATTGATTGGTGGAGTGTTGGAATAATGTTATTTGAAATGTTAGTTGGTATTTATCATATATATTATTAGCTTTTTTAAAAAATATTTTTATATTTATAAAAATATATGTTTTTAAGGAGTTCTTCCTTTTAATGATGATACTGTTGATAAAATATTTGAAAATATAAAAGTATATAATAAAAACAAAGACATATTATTAATTTTATTACATAGAATTATAAAATTCCTTGGGATGAAATTCCGGTTGGATATGAGGAAGATTAAATTAGTCCAAATGCTTTTAGATTGATGAAAAAATTGCTTAATCCAAATCCTAATGAAAGGTTGGGAGTTAATGGACTATAAGAAATCTAAAAAGAACCGTTTTTTGAAAGTGTTGATTGGGATAATTTAAGATAAATGCAAGCACCAAATATTCCTGAGGTTAAAAATGTTTTCGATACAAGCAATTTTTAATAAAAAATTTATTTTTCGGAAAAAGAATATATGGATCCTTTTTATGGAATTCATGAATAAAAAGAATAAGTATTTTAATAATAATATGTTAATATTATTTAATTATAGATAAAATAAGCTAAATAAATGATTGGAAATACTAAATTTGATGTAAAAAGATATGATGTGCTTTTTGAAAAAAACCAAAATAATATATTTCTTATTGAAAAATAAATGTTTAAATATTATATTTTATAAATATAAAATAGTATATATTTATGTATATAAAAGATAAAAGATAATTTAAGAAATTTAAGATAAAGAAAAAGATTTTGATTTAAATTAAATAGAGTCTGATATATAAAAAATAATATGATGAAAATAAAAATATATATATTTATATATATATGTATATATAATTATTTATATATATATGTATTTATATATATAACAATTTAATTTTTTTTTTATATTATTTTATTGTAAACTATACAATGACAATTTTATTAATATTTTTATGAAATCATATTTATTTTTCTATTAATTATTTTTATTTATATTTTTTATTAATTAAATATATATTTTAATATAAAAGTATAATATAAATATATATATATATATATATATATATATATATATATATTATTATAATAAAAATATAAGAAATATCAAATATTTTAATTAAAAATCAAATATTGAGATAAATGTATACATAAATACTTATAATTAATTTATCATATTTTAAAAAAATTAGTTTAAAAAAAAACTTATTGTTATTTGAGTTTATTGGTTAGTTTATCTCAATTAACTGACAAAGCTTAATGTTTAAGTTATTTTAAAAATATGTTACAATAATATAGTATATTTATCTAAAATCATTAACTATAATTGATTACCATATATAACAAAAAAATTAAATATAATTATATAAAATTTTTATATATATATAATTAAACATATATATATATATATATATATTTATATATATATATATATTTTATTTAATAATTCTTTTTAATTATATAAATTTTCAAGATAATAATATTAATATTTATATTTATTACTAATATTATAAAATATATTGCTACAATAATGATAATATTATGCATTTCATTAAATTAGTTGATATATTTAAAAAATTTATAAATTAATTTTAAAATTATATATATTTTCAAATTTCATAAAATATTTATTTTATTATTTAATAATATTGCATATATTTTTCTTATATTATTTATTTTAAATATAAATAACTATTTAAATTAAAATATTAATAATTTAATTATTTTATTATTTACTTTAAATTTTTTTTTTTTTTTTTTTTGCATTTAACTGAGAAGAAAAAAATTAAAAATTTTATAAATATTTATTTCTATAATTTATTTTGTATAATATAAAAAATGCTATATACCTTATTTTTTATTGAATTAATTAATAATTTTTTTTTAGGCATATTATATTTTTTATTTAATTAATATAGATTAAAATGAAGAATTTTTTTTTTGTTGATTTCTTTCTTCTATATTTTTTTAACTTTTTGATCTCATAATTAATAATTTTTTTACTTAAATTACTAACTATCCAAAAATTTTTTACAACTATAATCTTATTAATAATAAAAGAATATTATTAAAATATATATTTTTCATAGTAAAGTGATTTTCATATAATTAATAATAATAAATAATTCTTAAAAATAAAAATATATATCAGTACGTGTATATGTATATTTACTTTTTATAAATAAATTTATACAATTTTTTTCTATTCTAAAATAATATTATAATTTTTAAATCGATTTATATTATTTTAATATAATATATTATTATTTTTTAAAAAATTAATTTATTTTCATAAAAAAAAATTTATCTACATTTATTATTTATTTATTATATAATAATTATAAAAAAAAAATATATAATACATTTAAATATTATATAAAACAAAAAATCATAAAATAATAAATTATATCTAAAAAAAATGGATTTAGAAAATCAAGATGATGATATGGATATTGAAATGAATGATAAATAAATTATTTACATATAAGAGTAAAGTTTTTAAGAATAATTTTAAAATTAATAATTAATATCCCACTATCAATTAGAAACAGATATGTTAAATAAAAATAGCATAAATAGCTCCTAATAGTCTAGTCCAGAATTATCAAATAGGCTTAGTCTAGTTAAAACAAAGCTGCCTTGTTTAAGCATATAAAAGTTTTATAATTAATGAACGAAAAATAGATTAATTAAATTTTAATTTGGAAAAAGAATTTTTAATATAATATAAGTAAATATATATAAAACATACTTTTTTTATATACTATATTTATAATTTATTTGTTATTAATATAAAATAATTTTTTTTATTTTATTAAAATATATATTTATATTTGTTAAATTTAATATCTTTTTAAAATAAAAAATTAAATAAAAATGTTGACATTTTTTAAATCATTTATAAAATAAAAAAATATGTTTTATTTTTGTTAAATAAATCAAGAAATTGTTTAAATTTTAGATAAATATGCATTAGATTAAAACAACATTTAAAACCAAATCCAAACACTAAAAGATTTAGCTTAAAACATTTAAAAAATACATAATCATAATGCTCTTTTATTAGATAAAAGATATATCTAATTAATAAATTAAATATTAAAAAATACAGATAAATATTCAAGAAAAGGTATATATATATGTATATATTAAATTTTAGCATATTATATATTTTCTGTATTAATATTTTTAAAAAATTAATCTAAAAAAAATGGCAATTAAATTTTTTTCAAAACTTTTTTAACTTTTTTGTTTGATTAAGAGTTTAAAAAAAAATTAAAGAAAAATAATAATTATAATTTATATATAAATATATAAGTTTTTAAATTATTTATTTATATATAAATAGATGTTTTAAATATAATAATGTTCATGAATTGCTTTAAAGAAAAAAAATCGGTTTGCTTCATTTATATGATCATGCAAGAAATTTATGTTAAAAACTTTAATATAATTAACTTTCTCCAAGTGATTTAGTTAATTTGTATTGTTTTTAGGTTAAATTTCATAAAAAGGACAAATAGCTTATTGATTTATTAATAAAATTAAGCAACTAATTTAGCATTTAAGAAATTAAAACAATTTTAAATACAACTTAAAATTAAATAATATTAGTATAAAAAGAATACTATTTATACGAAAGAGTAAGCAATTAATTATTAAAATTTATTTAAGAATATAATATATAAGAATAATGCATATTATTAAAATAAATATCAAAAATTTAATTATAATTAAATATGCCTCGATATCAAGTAATATATAAAAATAAAAATATATATATTTAAATATATAAATATATATATATATATATAAATATATATTTATATATCATTATATATTTAAATTTATTATATATATTTCTTAACAAAAATAGAATACAAAAGTTATTTTTTATATAACAGATAATATTTAAAGAAATTTAAATTCTTTAAATTTAAAAAGCGTATTATATTTAATTAATTGCTTTTAAAATTAAGATTATTTTTTTGCTATAATTTGTAATAAGAAATTAAAAATATGATTATTTAGACTATTAATAAGTTAGATTCTTTATTTTTGGCCGATGTTTTTTTAATTAAGAATTTTTTTAATGAAAATTAATATAATATTATATATTAAGAAGTATTAAAAAGACTAAATTATTCAGATAATTCAGATAAGATTATTAAATTTAGGTATTTAGAATTATTTTAATAGAGTAATTCATAAGAAATAATTTTGAAATTAGGTGAAAAATTATTAGAGGAAATTAAGGATACAGATAATTAACATTAGTATTTAATACATGAAATTATTTACTATTTATCTTTTAAACTTAAAAGCAATAATTAAGTATTTTTATATTTTTTTATTTTTTAATAAAAAATAAAGGAAATATTGCATTAATATATAGAATATTATTTTTAATAAAATATCTAGAAAATAAATATAAAAGAATCTATTAAATTAGCTATTTCATTATATAAATATAAAAGCAAATACGAAGATTAATTTTAATAAGTAAATAAAAATATCGAGTAATGTTAGAATATTACCGAAATACTATTAAATCAAAAAAATATTTAAATATATAACGAATTCAGACTAAATTTAATTTTTTATAATTTAAATAGTTATTTAAATACACTTTCCAATAAAAGCATTACTTAATTAAAAGAGCTTATAAACTAACCTATGTTGACAAAAATATTAATACATTCAAGTGTATTTAAATCTACATAAATTTAATCATTTTAATTTCTTAAAAATAATTAAAATATAATATAAGAAAAATTTGAAAAAAATGTATTTAAATGATTTATAAATTTATAAATATATATATATATATATATATATAATCATATCTATATATATATATATTTGTTTTTATTTTTTAAAAATTAGTTTATTTAATTTTTTTTTGAATATTAACATAATAATTATTTGAATGAAAGCTAAATTTCTTTATTTACAAATGCTTTGTCCATTTTTAAATGTGATTTTTAGAATTATTTATTACATTTTTTTTACTAGAATTAATCCACTATATAGTTATTTATTTAAAACGAAAAACATTTTAAGAAAGTCCTTAATATTTTATTAAAATAATTTTCACAAAGATAAGCTACTTTTTTAATTTTTACTATTTATTCGATTTGTTTAAGAATCGAAAAAGAATATAAAAAATTGGATTATTTTTATGAATTTATGAAAAAAATATTCGAAATAAATATCGAAAAAGGAATAAATCAAAAACTTTCTAAAGATGATACTAATAATATATAGCTTTTTTTAATAAAACTAGCCAAAAATAAAAAACTGTCACCAAAAATAGCCAAATATTACCTTAACACTGTAGATTTTTAAAAAAGTAATTCTTACTTGAATATTTATTGCACATTACAATTGGCTTAGAATGATGAAAAATATATGTAGGAAAACAGTAATTTATATGAAAAAAACTATTAATATTTATTTAATTAATTGAATGAGGGAATTTATGATAATGAAATGATTTTATTTTGTATTTTTTAATATCCTACTTAATATATTTAACAACAATAAACTTTATTATATGAGAAAATTAAATAATTATAAAATACACAATTTATATTTGATATTCTTTTTGCTCTTGATAAAAATGCTTTGGGTTTTATTAACTTTATAGCTGAAAATTTATAATAACATTTAATTTTATAAAATATTCCTTATATAATTAGATCTTTAGAAAAATTAATTGAATGTTAATATTAGAATAATCAAATTTATATATAAATTATTAAATTTTTAGATTCCTATTTATAAGAAATGATATAGTTGGATATTTTAAAATATATAAAATGCCTATAATTGTTAAAATTTTATTAATAAAATGAATTTTATTAAAAATATTTTGAACATTTTAATAATTCTTATGAAGTTTTTAGAAATAACTATATTTAAATAATGGATTTTATTATTTACTTTTAATACACAAATAACGAAGTTTTTAATTTTATTTAAAATTGTTTTTCTTTATAATAATTTAATGGATAAGAAATCTTATATACATTATCTTACTATATTATAAATAAAAATGATTCTAATATGCATTAATATTTAAATAATTAAGAGGATTTTAAAAATATTATTAATAAATAACTATTAACTTATTGTTACATTTATTACTCTTAAATATAAGATAGTAAGATAATGAGATTTTTTGAAAATTGCTAAGACTTATGTCCTATTTAATTTGATAAATAATAATATTAAGTTTTATTCTAATACTTAGATTAATTAGAAATTGTTTATTTTAAAGATTTTTAAATGGAAAATGGGTTAGTTTACATTCCTGCCTTTATTGAAAAATATTAAATAGTTTTTATTAGATAGAGTGATTATGAAAATATTTTTATTAATAAAATTTTATAAAATATTTTGGGAAAAAACTAATAATAATTATTTCTTTTTCAAGAAAATACTAGTTTTTATGATTTCAAGTAATAAATAACTAAATTTCAAAACTAATGAATATTTAATTAATATATATTTAATAAAAAAATGTTTAATAAATATAAATATATAATATAATTATATTTATTTATTTTTTAATAAAATTAAATAAAATATATATTTTTAATATTGATTAATATACCAAAAATAATTTAATAAATTAAATAAATTAAATTTAATTACAAAAAATAAAAATGAATAATTTTGTATAATAACAATCTACAAGAAAAATATTTTTTATAAAAAAAAATCAAATTTAAGATTATATAAAAGACGAAATTATATAATAATAAGAAAAAAATCAAAGTGAAAATTAAATATAGAGTATTTATCCTCAAAATTTAAAAAAAATTATTTACAAGAAATTAATAATAGCTTTTCAATCGGAAACTTTAAAATTAAAAATTTATAAAATAAAAAACTTAATAAAAAAAAGTAATTGTATTTAGAATCTGAAGAAAATGTAATAAACTTGACATTGAATAAAAATAATAGAAAAAATGATGATTTAAAAAATACAATAGATGGCTAAATTTCATATTTATATCCATTAAACAGACATAAATAAATAACATTAAATGACTATTACATAACTACTAAAATAAATAATTAATTTAACTAAGAAGAATCAGAAGGTAATATTAATATAACATAATAATATGAAAATATATGTGCAACTAATAATAAAGAACAAGCTAATGATATTGAAAACGTAATACTTGAAAAAAATGAAATAATATTTTAATAAAAGAAATAAAAAAAATAATAATACATATAAACATAAAAATAATAATAATAATAATAATAATAATAATAATAATAATAATAATAATAATAATAGTAATAATAATTATAATCTATTAAATCATAAGATTCTGAAAATTCTTAAAAATCTTAAAAGTCTTAAAAATTTTAATAATCTTAAAAATCCTAAAAATCCTAAAAATCTTAAAAATCATAAAAATCCTAAAAATTCTAAAAATCTTAATAATCTTAAAATCCAAAAAATTAATTATGATGCAAAATATGTTTAGAATAAAATGGAAAATTGATATAACCTTGTTAATGTAGAGGATCATAATTTGTACATGAAATTTGTTTGAAAAATTGGATTTAATAAAAATATTCATATTATTAAAATGCTTAATGTGAAATATGTCTTTATTTCTATCAATAAGATATATAATATTAAATAGAGTATTTTTTTTCATTTTATTAAATTAAATAAAAAAATAGGCTGATTTCATTTAAATATTTGTGTTAAAATTTTACCTAAATAATTTAATGTTTCCTTTTATTAATTAGCATTATTTGTTTTGTAATTATATTTATATTTTTAGTTAAAAAAATGTAAATTTTTTTAATTTATTTTAATATTTAATTTTTTGTTAAAAAAAAGAAAACTTCTTAATTCAGGAACTGTCGAATAAAATAAAAATTTCCTGCCTTATTTAAGTATAAAAATAAAAATATTTTTTATATTAAATTAAATTAAAAGTTAATATATAATATACAATAATTTTCCTTGTTCTTGTTTTTATTTTTAATTTTATTCAAATATCGTTTTTTTATTATAAACTATTTAATTTATGTTGGAAAGAAAAGTTGAAAATTTGGAATATTTTAGAATATAAGAAAAAGAAAAAAAGAAATGAATATTCTTAAAGAAAAAGTATAGATTTTAATTTAAATATGAACTCTTAATAATAATGGCACAATATTTTATAAAAACATTATAGTTTAAATAGCTATTTTTTGGAATAAGATAATAAATAAATAAATAAAAAGAATTAATTTAATATTTAATCTTGTACACATTTTAATAGAAAAAGTTTAAATTTGAAAAAATAAAATAAATATATTTAAAAAAATGAATAAGATATAGATTTTTAGACACTATCTTGATTAAAGATATTCTTGCAGTTATATTTTAATATATTAAATATAAAAGAAATTAAGTTATCTTTTTATTTTCTATGATTATTAATATTTTTTTATAATTATTAAAAAAAAAATATATATATATATATATATATATTTATATATATCTTTTTTATATTTAAAAAATATAAATTTATATCTTAGTTATTTATATTTTTTTAAATAATTTTTAATATTTAATAATAAAATTATTATATTCTTATTTATTAACTAATCTTTTTTATAATTACTATTTTAATAATATTTATAATTTATGTTCATATTAAATATTATAAAATAAAATTTTCTTAAAATAATAAAAATGAACAAGCCTTTAAATATAGACGAATTTTGTAAATATCACACATACAAGCCAAATAAATATAAGAAAAGCCCAAAAAAAATCGAATATTCAAGTGAAAAGACAGCAACTGAGATTCCATGTGAAAGCCAAAAAAAACAATTAGAAAAAAAGAAAAAATATCCTTAATTTTAAGTAGAATTATATGAAAAAATAAAGGCATTTCGTTAAAAAAACAACTAAACTCCTGTAGATTTATTAGGAGCTCAATAATAAGGAGACATATCTTTACCTTAGAACGATTTTTAATTTTAATTGTTGATTTCTATTTTATTAAGTGTATAAACAAAAGATGAAATAACTGATTAAGTAATGAAAAAAGTTGAAAAAAATAAAATCACAATTTAGAAAATAAACTAAATGTCTGAAAGTTAAATTTTATAGATAATACAGGAAGTAAATTTTAATTAAAAAAAAGCTACTTTTATCAAAAATGCCGCAAAAATTATTACTGAATAATTTTAAGGATAAGTGCCAGATAAATATGAAGACTTAATATAAATTAAAGGAATAGGACCCAAAGTTGCACATTTATTTTTATAAATTGCACAATAAAAAAACATAAGGAATTGCTGTTGATACTCATATGCATAGAATTAGTAATCGATTAGAATGGGTAAGTACTAAAAACCCAGAATAAACAAGGATATAATTGGAAAAATGTGTCCCTAAGGATGAATGGAGTAATATTAATGGAGTTTTAGTTGGATTTGGGTAACTTATTTGTAAACCAATAAAACCTTTGTGCGATATTTGTCCAATAAAAGGTTTATGTGTTTATTAATTAAAAAAAAAAAATGAATAAAAATATTTTTTTATATTTTTAAATTTTTATTTTTTGTAATATAAAATTTTTATAAATTTTTTTTATTAAAAATAATATAAATTTTTAAATTTTAAATTAGTATTTTTTTAAAAAAAAATATATTTAATAGAGAAAAAAAAAGACTTTTTTTTTTTTTTTTTTTTTTTTTCATACATTGTTTCTTTAAACAATATCATCAATAGCATTTAAAGTAGGTAAAATTCCAGTATTAAGTTTACTATAGACATTATTTCCATCTACATAAATTTCAAAAGCATCACTTTTTCCTACTATAGACCCTAAAAGCTAAGTGACCATAATAACTCCAATAACAGTTTACATTTTATGGTTTTTCATAAGTAAATACCATTTTGGGTAATTCATATTGAGCATTCCGAAAATTCTGTCTCCGAAAAGATTAAACACTAAAACAATCCAATGAATATTATTAACAAATTTACTTAATAAATTTTAAATAGGGGATAATGGATATTCGAATCCTTCTAAAAATATACTGGGATATTCAGTTTTAATATAGTTCTATATTTCATCGAATGTTTTTTGGTGTGATTTACAGTATTAAATTTACAAGTTTAAGGTTGATCGTTGGTTTTTGAATTTTTAAAAATTTTCTTCGTCGTTGTCTGTGGTGTTTTTGACGTTTTCGAATTACTCAGGTTATTCCTCATTTTGCGGATTTTAAGGAGTCTCTTTGGGTTCTTTCTGAATAGGCGTTTTTGCCAAAAATACGTTGGTTGAGACGTCAAATATTAAGAGGACTATAAATAGTTAAAATACGAATTTTTCGACTGTTTATTTGGACATTTTTTTTTATATTATATATTTATTTATTTATTTTTTTATAATTTTTTTGTTTAATTTTTTTATCTCGCAATTTCCTAAATTTATATTGAGATTTTTTTGTATTAAAATATAAACAAAATATATAAATAATTTTATATACATTATTTTTAATTATTTAATAGTTATTTTAAGAATTAAAAAAGAAAAGAAAGAAAAATGGGCAAATTTACACAAGATAAGCGAGTACAAAAAAATATTTCTTATTCAAAAAACGTATATAAACAAATACATAAAATTCAAAAAATTCATTCAAAATTCTCATAAATTTTATTAAAAAAAAAAAATGTGAAATACAAATTGAAAAAAAATTTTTATAATATATAATGAATTTAAAAAAATAAAAATAAAAAAGGATATATATTATAGAAAAGCAAAAGAAGATTGTTTTAGGGCACGTTCAGCATATAAATTATTATAAATAGATGAAGTATTTGGTATATTCGAAAATGCAAATCGAGTTATAGATTTATGTGCAGCTCCAGGTTCATGGAGTTAAGTCATTTAAAAAAAATTATCCGAAAAAGGAATATTGTAAAAAAAAAAAACGAAATTCTTTATTATATAAATTATTAAGTAAAAGTAATAATGATGAAATAAATATTATATCAGTAGATCTTTAAGAAATGGCTAATATTGAAAATGTATTAATATTACAAGGAGATATAACTAAATAAGTAACAGTGAATGAAATATTAAAAAATTTTAAAGGTAAAAAAGCTGATTTAATAGTTGATGATGGAGCTCCTGATGTAACTGGGTTTCATGATATGGACTAATATTTATAATCTTAATTAATGGTTGCAGCTTTAAATATTTGTAAGGAGACATTAAATTTAAAGGGAATTTTTATCGCTAAAATATTTAAAGGAAGCGATATTAAATTTCTATATTCGCAGTTTAAGCTTTTTTTTAAAAGTGTTTATGTCGTAAAACCTAAAAGTTCGAGATAGTCTAGTGTAGAGAATTTTCTTGTTTGTTTAGACTTTGATCCGCCTTAGATTAATTTAGGATAGAGTTTATATACTTTTTATTAAGGAAATTAAATAAAAGAATAAGAATAAGAAGGTAAGGAAGTAAAAAGCAAATATTTTTCTTTTGTAACTTGTGGGGATTTATCTGGATTTGATGAATAATGAAAATTAAAATTTTTTTTTTTTATTTTTCATATAAAATATTTATATTTAATTTTAATAAAATTAATATTTATTTGGAAAATTATTAAATTAAAAAAACATACTTTAATTACTTATTTTCATTTATTTTTTGATTTAAAATTTTATTTAGAATTACTTTTTATTTATTTACGAACTAAATTCATTTTTAGTTATAAAGTAAATAAATATTACTACAATATTTTTATTTATAAAGTAATAAAAATCTAAAAATGAAACTAATTATTTCAGTCTTTATATTAATATTAAATATATATTATTGTGAATAAATTAAAGTTGATAAAAAAAATTAATTATTAAAAGATGAAAATAACAGATATACAATATACCATGGAGTTAATGTTGTTTACAAAGTAAAGTATTATTATTCATTTATTTATATTTATATAAATAATAATAATAAGCAATTCCCTTTTTACCCTTAATTCGATAATTTCCATCCAAATGATTCCCTATCTGACATAGATCTTTTGAATCTTCAAAAATGGGGATTTAACTTAGTTAGACTTCATTTAGCTTGGGAAGGAGTAGAACCATTAAGAGGATAATACAACATAACATATCTACAATAATTATAAAAAATAATAAAAAAATGTGAATAATATAACATTAGAGTTTTATTAGATGCGCATTAAGACTTATTATCTTAAAAAACATGTGGAGAAGGTTTTCCTGATTGGGCAATTAAAGTAAAAAAATTAATTTTTTTTAAAAAATAATAAAATAAAAAATAAGATTACAAATTTCCCGTATCCATTACCATTTAAATTAGAAAAAGACGAAAAAGGAATTCCCAAAAGAGAAGACTGTTTGAAACATGAATTTGGTTTATATTATGCCTCATTTGATGTATAAAATAACTTTTAGAGATTTTTAACAAACGAAGATGGAATTGCTGATTCTTTCGCCTAAATGTGGGGTTTTGTCGCTAATTTTTATAAAAACGAGACAAATGTTATTGGCTATGAAATAATAAATGAGCCTTTTGGAAGTTCAGTTTATTCGGTTTTCTTGAAAACATTAAATTCCAATAATTTGTATCTTTTGCCTTTATATAATAAAGTACATTAGGAAATCAGGAAATATGATGATTAATCCTTACTTTTCTATGAATCTGCCTCATCTGATATACTAAATCTTGGGTTTATTCATAATGTTGGAGGAGATGAATATTTAGATAGAGAAGTTTATTCTTATCATATTTATTGCCCTTTTATTTCGAAGTAATATATGCTTTTATTTAATTTTTAATTTTTATATGTATTTATAATTATAATAGAGAAGGAGATCCTTTAAATAATTATATTTGTGAAGGATTAGATAATATTATTTTTAAAGGAAAATTTAAAGAATTCAAAGGATTAAAAGTAGGCGGTTTTTTAACTGAATTTGGAGCTTTGAGTAATTCTACAAAGGCCTTTTAAGAAATAGAAAGCGTGGTAAAAAATTCCGAATAAAACTTCCATTCTTGGGCTTATTGGTAATTTAAATATTATGGAGATATCACTACTTAATCTAGACCAGGTACTGTGGAGAGCTTTTATGATAATTTTGGGAATTTAAATAGTTTAAAAGTAAAAGCTTTGTCAAGAACTTATGCGTATAAAATATGTGGAAAACCTATTTATACGGAGTTTGATGGTCAAAATGGAAAATTTATGCTTTCGTTTTTTTATGAAAATAGTAAGAGTTGTTAAGGAAAAAATACGGAAATTTATTTAAATGAAGAGTTTTATTATTAAAATGGAGTTAAATGGGATTGTGGAAAAGTTAAGTGTTAATTTTTAAAAATTAAAGAAAATTATTATTAATTAATTATTTAAAATTAAGAAAATATTTAAGTTGATTTTAAAATTTATTGATTTTTTAAAAAAGAATTATAAAAATTAAAAATATAATTTTTTTTATAAATTTAAAAAAAAATATAATATTAGCAATATCAAAACAATAATAAAAAAAATTTATAAAAAAATTACTTATTACATAAATTTATAAAATATAATCTTCTTATGAAATATAATTAATTTCTATATAAGTTTTTTTTTTCTTGAAAAAATTAATATTATAAATATTTATAATTAATCCATAAAAAAGCAAAAATGAATATATTTAAAACCTTAAAAAATCGATTTCTATATCAAAAACTTACAAAATAATCTTTTTCAACAACAAATGAGGTTCATGTTTATAAAAAACACTTCATATATAATCCTGTAGAAGTATTATTTATCAAAACTCGTGATTATCCAGGTAGCTTAAAATATCTTTTGGAAATATTTTAACAAAATCGTATAAATTTATCATATATAGAATCCAAGAAACTAAACATAAAAGGAAAGTAAAATATTTTTATTATATATATAAAATAAATAAAATTATAAATACAAATAGACATTAAGATGTGCTTTTTATTATTTCATTTAAAGGATAATAAAATGATTAAGCAGTAAAATAAGCATTTATAGATTTAGAATAAAGATTTGATAATGTCTGGTTTTCTGATTAACTTCCTAAAGTACCTTGGTATCCTAGAACATTAGAAGAAGTTAAATATATAGGAAATTAATTAATGGTAGTCAAAGAGGAAAATAATAAGGACCATCCTTAATTTTCAGACGAAGTATATCGAAAAAGGCGAAATTTTATAGCTAATTATACTAAAGATTATGTATTTGGTGAAAAAATTCCAATATTAAAATACACTGATTAAGAAAATCAAACGTGGCGATATATATACGAAAAATTAGACCCTTTTCATGAAAAAATATGTACTGAAAGTTACTTGAAGTATAAAAGAGAGCTAGAAAGTACATTGATGATTAATAAATAAATTCCTTAATTATGTGATTTGGATTCTTATCTTTAATCTAAGACTAATTTTAGGATAAAACCAGCTGCTGGAATATTATCTTAAAGAGAATTTCTTAATGCATTGGCACATAGAGTCTTTTTTTCGACATAATATATTAGACATCATGCTACTCCTGAATATACTCCAGAACCAGATATTGTACATGAAGTTTTGGGACATATTCCAATGTTTTGTGACCCTCTAGTAGCCGATATTAGTCATGAAATAGGACTTTTATCTTTAGGAGCATCACCAACTTAATTGAAAAAATTAGGAAATTTATACTGGTTCACATTAGAGTTCGGAGCATGTTACGAGAAAGGAAAAATAAAAGGATTTGGTGCTGGAATAGCTAGTTCTATAGGAGAAAGTAAACATTTTTTGGGAGAAAAAGCGAAATTTGAATTATTAAATCCAATTATTGATTGCGACAAAACTTATCCTATTTAAAATGTTTAACCAGTATATAAATATAGCTATACTTTATAAGAATTATTAGATAAAGTAATTAAGTTCGGAGAAAGTATAAAAAAGCCAATGTAGACTTATTATGATTTTAATAATAATACTGTATTTTTTTATTAATAATTTTTCAAAATTATTTTTTTTGCAATATTTTTTTTTTTAAAAAAAAGGTTGAAGCTGATAAGAAATTTGAAGCAATTTTTGTCGAAGAAGAAATGCCTGAATATTGATTATTTTCCATAAATATATATTTTTTTTTTAAATGAAATTTTTATATTTGTTTTTAAATTTACTTTTTATAAAAATTCAAAAATAAGTTTAAATATATATATTAGTATTTATTCTTTAGAAGATTAATTATAAAAATATAAGCTTTTAAAATTTTAAGTAAATATAAATATTTAATAAATATAATTTTTAATAATTAATTAAAATATATTAAATGATATATTTGTTAAATTATAAAAATTTATTACATGTTTATTGAAAATTTCTCTTTATTAATAAATAGATGAATATTTAATATATTATATAGATAAACAATTTAAATATTATATATAAAAATCTATTTATTTATTTAGGAATGATAAAAAATTAATGTTTTTAAAATATTTTATTTAAAATATAAAATCAATTTTTATAAGTTATATGAATTTTATCTATATTATTTAAGAAATTATTCAAAAAATAATTAAATTATTATTATTGAAAACAAAAAAATATTTTAACAAATATTATAATATTAATAAAAATATTATTTTTAATTAAATAAAAACTTAAATTATAATATAAAAATATAAATATTACTTAAAATAATTTTAATATTATTTTGTACTTCCTAAAAAACAAAAATCCAATAAAAGGTAGAAAAAATTTATCAATATAATAATAAACAAACATCTAAAAATTTAATAAAAATGTGATTTTATTTATATATTACTTTTTGTTATTATTTATTTTTAACTTATTAAAAATTTTATTTTAAAAACTCATTTAATAAGAAATAATGAAGACTTTCTTTTTATTAATTAATTAAATTTAATAAAATAATATAAAAAAATATGCTACTTTTTTGGAAATAATTTTCATTTTTTTAAAAAAAACTTAATAAAAACAAAAAAAATGTGAGAAATATGAATAAAAACCATTTTTTTTATTGAGTATAGTAAATTAAAATTATTATTTTTGTTAATTAACTAATAATTTGCATTTATTTATATCAATTATTACTAATTTAAACATATTTATTTGATATTACCTTAAAAGTAAATAAAATTCTTATGTTATCAGTTTAAAAAAATTATAATTTAAAATGTTCTTGAATTTTAAAAATTAACTCTTAAAAAAATATCTCAATTAATATGTTATTTTGTCTGCATTATAAAAAATTAATTTTTAATTTTCTTCAAAATTTAAATTAATTTTTTTAAACAAAAAATAATTCGTAATTTTTATTATATGTTATACAAGCAATAAATTAAAAAGACAAAAAATTTCTAATAATAATATATTATAGATAAATATCAAATAAATTATTGTAAATATAAATTTATTTTTAAATCAATATCAATTTTTTATTTTATTTTTTAATTTTTTTTTTCATCAAAACTGATCGAATTTTAAAGAAAACTTAATATCTTAATTTAATTCTTTTATATTTCCTGTTTGTTTATATCTTTTGTATTTATCAAAATTTTATTCATAAATTTTTTTAATATTATTTTCACTTCTTAGCCTATTAAAATTAACACAAATTTCAAAAGGCAATATGATTAATAATGCTTTTAATAAAAATTATAATTATATATTTCTAACTCTTTTGAAAATTGGCATTTTATTAAAAAAAAAAATAGATCCGCAAGCAGAACTTAAAAAAAATAGACTTATTAGAAAATTAGTTGATAAATTATTTTTTTCTTATTTATAATTGTCTTATGTATATGTCACTAAATGTAGTTTACCCTTTTATTCTGAATACATATCTTAATTAAATTATTCAACGTTTATTTTCGGATAGTATTTATAAATATAATCGTTTTCATAATAATCCCGCATGAGCATTTTTATAAATTAAAAGAAAAAATATAAATAAATATTAAAGATATTAATATATAAATTATAATTATATAAATTAAAATATTATTGTAAGAAATAAAATGTTATTAAATTATATATTTAAGAATAAATGAAAATTAAAGTATTTTGTATATTTTTTATTAATTATAATTCTTTAAAAATATGAAGGTTTATTTCAGTCGTTTATAATATAAAATTCTGATTATTTAATAAGATTTAAAATTATTGTTAAATAAAAAATAATAATGTTAATATCAAATTTCTATAATGACAATATTTATTTTAAAAAATACATATTATATAAATTTAATATTTTATTTTAATATAAATTAATTTTATTTTCATCAATTTAAGAACAAAAATAAAAAAATTAGTAAATAAATAATGATAAATTAATGTAAGAAAATTTTATGCTTATTAAATATATATTATAAAATTGTTTAAATTATTAAAAAATATGTTATTTGTATAATTTATTTTTTTAAATGTAAACTTCTAATTTAATATAAAAAAATTAATTAATAAATTAAAGTTAAATAAAATATTTAAATATTTTTAATTAATTTTTTTTTAAAAATTAATAAGTATAAATAATAATTTACATAATATATATTAATTTATTAAATAATTATGAGAATATTTAATATCTTTAAATTATTTTCTGATGTATTAAATAAAATAATTTTTATTTGATTATAATATTTATTAAAATTCTTTTATAAATATATAAAAAAATCATAATTATTTTTTATTTAATATTATAAATATTATTATTTTATAAAGTTTATTTATTTAAATATTAAATAAAATAAAATAATTTTTTTTTTTAAATATTAATATAAATCAAAACTTTTATATATAAATCTTATTTCTTTAATTATTTCAATAAATTAATTATTTTAAAAATAAATATTTTTTTTATAATTTATAAAAATAATAATAATTAAATATTTAGATAAATTTTTTTACAAAAGATTTTTAATAAAAATAATTGTTATTTATTTTATTAAGCAAAAAATTATTATATTTTCATGTTAACTTTTATTTAAAGTAAAAATTTTTCTAAATTATTATGTCCTGTATGCATATTTTAATGCAAATTTCGTTTTTTATTTTTCAATTATTTTTAATTTAAATGAAAGGATGTATTACATACTAAAATATAAATTGGAGATTATATGAAACTATAAAGAACATATACTTAAGATGAAATATTTTTATTTTCCTAAATTTCTGGAGATAAAAATCCGATTCATATTGATGAAAAAGAAGGTTAAATAAAAAAACTAATAATATTTTAAATTTATACATATTTAAAAATAAAGGAGAAAAAAGTATTTTTAAATAAAGGGTTGTACACGGTATGCTTACTGGATCTATTTTTCTTAAATAATAGGAAGTGTTTTAAAAGATTCAATATATTTAAATTAGACATTAAAATTTAAAGCACCTGTATATTTTAATGAATTGGTATTACTTTTTATAATATTATTTTAATTAATATAAAATAGGTTGAAGGATAAATAGAAGTGATAGAAATAAATGGAAAGTCAAAAAAGTTAAAATTAAAAACTTAGCTATTAAAAATAAATTATGATAATTAAGTTGCAATTGAAGGAGAAGCATTAATATTATATAAACATTATTAAAATTGAAAATATATAAAATATAAACTTTAATAATAATTTATAAAAATATTAAAATTGTAAAATAAAAAAAAGAATATCAATTAATTTAATATTTAATTAATTAATAAAAAAGTATTAAAAATTTTAATTTTAAACTTAAAAATAAAATAATATATATTTAAAATAATAAATTAAAATAGAATAAAATAATATAAAGATAATAAAAAAATATATATAATTTAAATGATATATATAATAAAAATATTATATAATTATTAATACATAAATTGCATCTAAAAATATTTTTGATATATTATTTATAAATAATTATTTAAAATGTAATTTATATAAAAAAAATATATATTTAAATTAATAAAATATAATTGCATTAATATTATTTATTTTAATAATATAAAATATATATATTTTTTTTTATTAATTATTATAATTTAGCAATTTATATTTTTAATATCTTATTTTTATTAATATTTTTTATTATTATTTTTATTTATTTATAATATATAATTTTATTAAATTATATAATCATTAAAATTTTATACTTAATTATACAGTTTATTATTTATTTTATAATAATATAAATAAATAAATATATTTGATAAAAATAAATATATTTGAAATAAAAAATGGGGTTGTGATTTTGGGGATATGGTATTTATAAATACATCAATATATTGATAAAATAAATACATTTTGAATAGGTATTTGGGTTTACTTTTTGCGGTTTATAAATACAAAAATATTTGTATGTTAATTATAGGTTATCTATAAATTTTAAAAGGTTAATTATAAGTTAAAATATATTCGGATAAAATAAATACATATATATATTTGAAATGGTTATTGGGGTTCGGGTTTTTATGTTTATAAATAAATAAATAAAATTAATTGGAATGGGTATTATAGTTGGGGTTGGGGTTGGGGTTGGGGGTTGGGGTTGGGGTTGGGGGGG